AATTATAGTGAAAGGATTTTTTTGTGATCAAATGTTTATTGCGTTTACATCCTTTCAACATACGCACAGCTAGACGATATAGTGTAACCATATACACATATATTTATACGTTGTATGCCTCCACCAACCAGTCATGTTGCAGTTTACATCCATGTCTGTCCAAGTTGTCATCACTTTATCATTTTATCCTATTAGAAATTTGTGAGAAGTTGTCATAATAAGTATATATGGATTCTTGAGTTAAGGCCAAAAATAGTTTTGTGAGGTCAGAGTAGCCTTGAACTTTAACCATCAAATAATCAGTTCATCCTTGAATCCAAGTGGACATTTGTGCCAAATGTGAAGAAATTCTTTCTAGGCGTTCCTGAGATATGGTGTTCATGAGAATGGATCCATTTAATACCCATTGTACTCCATAAGTTCCTAAAGCCTGTTGTAGAGAAGAAGTAGTAATATTAGGACATTTTATACAGTGCCTTCAGGCTACCACCCTGACAGTGGTAAAGATTTTTAGTTTTTGTGTCCTTTAAATCACAACATATAGCAACGAATAAAGCTGGCTGAGATCTGTGATGTTTTGTTTGCATGAAATGAGGAAGACTTGTTTTGTTTCATGGGGCTTGTGGATGTATTGCCAACCTAAAGCTGTTCCAGCCGCATACTTTGGTTGAGCATTACTTGCCGCCTTGCACCTCAGTGAGTGAACGACACAGCAGTAGGCCCCAGAGAGGGTTTTATCTTGAAAGTAGATTCAACACCTACAGAGTACATCAAAGATAGATTCCACTTTTAAAATGCCTCCAACCCCAGTAAGCTGTGGGTTTAAAGTGCTGAAAAGAATCACAACACTGCTTTACTTTAGATGAATAAAAAAAAAACACTGTCCACCTCTGCAGGTCTGCCTGTTGTGTATGCTTTTATTCCTGTCATGCCTGGTGTTTCGATTTGAACAGCACCTCCTGTCATCCTTAAGAAACTATTTTTAGTGGCTTGTTGTGTGGTCGCAGCAGAAGAGTTACCTGCAAAACACTTTTTGTCAGCTTACCGTGCTGAGGGCTCACAAACAAGACCATTAAGCTATTATTCCCTCGCAGATACACACAGCAAAATAAACGTTTATCAAGAAAAATAGGCGACTGTGGGAGAGGAGGAAAATAGGACAGGTGGAGAGAGAGGCCGGGAGAGAGGGAGGAAGGAAAGAGGGGGGTTATTGGAGCCGGGGAGGGGTCATAGTGTCCCAGTGGAGAGAAATAGTGGAAAACATCCGTAATTTTCACCGCGGGATCCCATGTAATTGAGTCATTTAAAATACAGATACAGAGCTGAATCAAAGCAAAGTGGCTTGTGGAGGAGGAGGAGGAGGAGGAGGAGGAGATGGCAAAGTAAAATGAAAAAGAGGTAAAAAAAAACAACAACGAGGAAGAAGTGTGTGCCTCTTATTATTGGACAAAGCTGGTCTGTTTATCCTTTTCATCTGTCAATCTTCTCTCTCAAGACAGGATGTTACCTTTGTTCGTACTCTCCATAATACTCCTGCTTCCTGTTTTCTTTATTCTCTCTCTCAAAATGTATTTTATTTTGCAGTAAATGCACTTTTTTAAATGTTTGTCCATATTCGTTTTGGTATTTCATGCTGTGGTTTCTGATGCTGGTGATAGATCTCTGATAATTTGCCCCTACATTTTTTTTTTTACATTTCATGTATTAATATTTGAGATTTAAACTGACCTGCGTATATTCCTGAATTAGTGCAAAAGTTCCGACACACATTAAACACAACTTAACAAAAACATAATTTAACTGCAGTTAGAACAATAAACTGGAAAATGGCAGAATTATATGCACAGTTAAAAGACTCAAACATGCTGGGTACAAGCTCTAGTGTGTGTGTGTGTGCGTGTGTGCGTGTGTGCGTGCGTGCGTGCGTGTGTGTGTGCGTGCGTGCGTGTGTGTGCGCGCGTGCGTGTCATTATAATGAGAAACTTTCTCAAAATAATGACTTAATGCCTTATAATTATGACTCAGCATCTCATAATTATGAGATCATATTTCAATTTTAATTTGTGGGAAGTTTTTGTCAAAGACGAATAATTTGTGAAATAAAAAAGACAATATTTCAGATTCTGTTGAATCAATTTCATCCTTTTTTTTACTGTCCATCGTGAGTCTAACGATGTTATAAGTGGCCATAGAACTGGTGAAGAACTTTTTTAGTAGATTACCAGAAAAATGTAAGAATAGATCATTGAATAGTAAAATAATGAGGATCACACAAAAAATAAAATCAAAACAGGTTGAAAACATAATTAGAATTAAAGAAAGGGATTAAAATGTAGTTTTAGAAATGATTTAAAAGATTTGAAATGTATTTTGTCCAGTGTGTTTTTCAATTATGACAGCGATGAATATGTTAGAGCCATTACCTATTCATTCACTGCTTCCCACTGCATGAACAATGTGTTCATGAATGAAAGCTATGCAGGGATACCTTTGAGGTCTCTCAATGAAACACTATCCGTTTCTTGTATCCTGCCTTTAGAAATGTATGCCCACAGCAGAACTGTGGTAATTATCAAGCAATTACAGTTTCATATGGCCCGTTCTTTTGAGATTGAGGAGGAAAAGGAGGAGGTAAAAGCTCAGTAGTTAAAAAGATTAAGTGTGGCAATATTGACGTTCCTTTTTCTAAATGCTTGGGTGTCCAGCTGGGTATGTCTGGCCACTTGCCTGACCACAAAAACGTCACATTTTCTTATACACTTCATTGAAATGAAAAGAAAAGTGGATCAATTATTCGGCACACGTTGATGATTTCTTGAAATTGTTTTTATTCTTGAGAGACCAAATGCTTTGCTGAAGATGCACTCATTTCACGATAGTGAACCCTGGGAACAAGAGTCTATTCTCTGCAAGACAATGACGGGCAGGAAGCTGTGTTTGTGCGTGACACTTGATCAGCCTGTAACCACATCTACACACACTTGGTCAACTCTGAGTCAATTCCCACTGCTTGATTGGCAGGACGCCAGAGATCCACACCTGCTTTAACTGCCTTTACTCTCTAGCCTGTTTGACCAGATGGGGGCTGAATTCATTGTAGTGTGTGTGTGTGTGTGTGTGTGTGTGTGTGTTTTTGCTTCCATGTCTGAATAGCCTGGCTGTATATGATGACCACCACCTGACTTACCCTTTGATACCAGAGCTCTAAAATCATGTCCCAGCCACATTGAATACATTGGACAGCACATGGTAGCAATATGCTTGAATAGCCGGGATCATACTTCAGTCATGCTAAATTGGAGGTCTTCATTTAGAGGTGCCGGTCTGGGAACAGCCTTCAGCTCCCACTTAATTTCCCAGCTTCTTTTTTGGAGGTGATAACATGCCCAGGGGCTGACAAAGAAGGGAAATTGATATCTGTACGGATGTCTGTAAGACGCAGCACGCCAATCTGTTTGTCTCAAGTTCGAGGTCAATCATCCCTGTTCAAGCAGCTGCATGAGCATGTTGCATATATGTAACTGTATCGGGAAACGGTTATTTAAGTGTTAAGAAACAGCACATATGTTATCAAGTTTATCACAAGCTTCAGGCTTGTGCATTTACTCATATTACTTATGCTGTGTCGTGTTTTAAAATAATGTGGCCATAAGATATCTGACAGATTTGAGCCTTTAATATCAGTAGGGAGGCCCCCGTGTACATCATTAAGAAAATGAACCAAATGCATAGATCCTGAAGAAAAGCTTCATCAGTCACTCAGAAATGAACCCTGAAATAACTCTGACTCTAACTCTGCTGGACACAATCATTTTAGTCCTTACTGGTGAGACTTTGCTCATTGAGGTTTGGATACAATTTATGGAGCAGGAACTGTTTTGCATAAACAGTTTGGGAATTTGCAGCAATTTTACTTTCTTCTGTCTAGCTGCTGGCATTTTCCAGATGTGCAACAAGATGTTTCCACATGTGCAGCAAGGGAAAAAACAATATTCCTCAATGTGCATTTTTTTTGTGCCAGATGGGATTTTTTTTATATTCGGACAAAACAGCTTTCAATGTTAGGAATATACATAGCAAAAGTCAGTTTAAAACATTTATGTGACTCTTTGTTTTTCCTTTTTTAACAATATTACAGAACACATTGAGGCACATGAGGGAGCAAGGTGGCACAGTGTAGATGTCTCAGGTAGATGAATAACAACTCAACATGGCTCTCTTTCTTTGCCATGGAGGCCTTAAGCAAGGCCTGCTGCTGTTAGCTGATTAGTTTAGTTGTCTTGTTTCAACTATATTTCAACTTCAACTTTAAATTGTCACATCCATACATACATGACATTTGATCTATGTATATAACCCATCCTGAGCATTTTAGAAGCTGTGGGCTGCTGTAAAGAGCCCAGGGAGTAACTCTGACATGCGAACAGTAGGAGCCAGCGATCCCACCGCCAACTTTGTGATTTAAGGACAACCCAGGTCAATCTCCTGAGTCACAACCGCCCCAATGCAGTGGAAGTATAGCAACTTTAGTTGGCCTTATTATACCAGAATCAGAATCAAATTAATTGACCGGGTGTATCTACACATACAAAGATATTCCAGAGATTGCAGTTGCCAGTATATATTTTAACATACCAGAGCTGATGTGTTACATCTATCTAAAATAACAACCCTACAATGAACTCTTCTTTCATTAGGATTATCTGTGGCTGAATTATCATATAAAAGTCATGCATGAAAACTCTTTTATAAACTCTGACAGCAAAAAAAGTTAAGTTATATATAATTACACATATATATTTGTATATATACTCATATATTTATTGTATGTTACTTGTAACAAAAATAAATTATCCTCTTTAGTTATGCTAAAGTTGTTATGTCTTTGCCAACATGCTATGTGGTCCTCGATCAACTCGCGAGATCATCTGGCTCGCGGAGCTTTGGTTTGGCACGTGTGCTGTTCCTTTTTTTTTTTTTTTTTTTTTTTAAAGTGTGGCTCTCAGCTGCCGAGGCGGATGATGATGATGATGGCGGAGCTGGTTCAGGGACAGGCCTCGGTGGCTCAGCCCGGAACGAAAGATGACTTCGCAGACACGATACGCCGGGTCCGACAGGTAAAATGCTCTCCAGCGAACACACGTGTAGCGCTTTCGGACCACAAACAACGTGTTTGCATGTGGAGCAGGGCAGGACTGTGGTCGGGGCACCCCGGACCCCCTACTATACAACACTCCTCATGTACCCAGCAAGCTAGCAAGCTAACGTTAAGTAGCCGAGGCAGCATAGCTGAGAGGACAGATTAGAGTTTACACGGGACACGAGACGCGTTAAGTAACCGAGGAAAAGCTGTCACAACAACCACACAAACCACGTCTGACGCAAAACACGGAGGCCTCTCATTATGTCGAAGTTTGTGCAACTTTAGTAAGTTAAACCGACACACTGCAACCTGTTGTGAAGCAACATAAGTTGCAGTTAGCTTAGCTAGCTAATTTACTATCACAAGTTTGATACCCTGCAGCTTGACCCGCCACGTGACCATGGCTAATATTACGTTTAGACGTAAATCCTTAAACGCCGAGCTGCCTGACACGCTGTCAATAAAGTTAGCATGCTAGTTCTTGGTCCTGAGATAGCTTCTGTATAACCGGCTGTTGCCCAATTAAAAGAGACGCACTTTGAGCTTAAAAGGGGATCACGTGCAATACTAACGTCCATCCCCCGTCTTTAACTTAACAACGAGCTCGTGTTTAAAACTTGAAACGTGTTTTTTTGCGTAGTAGCATACATGCGAGTAAGCTAGCTAGGAGCTGGTGCTAGCTAGCTAGCTAGCTAGCGTGTGTGGCACTGTGTCCCAAAAGGCAGCGTCGGAGTAAGGCCATGTAGTGTAACGTCATCTGTTCAAATAAGCCCCCCTCCACTCCTCCTGTGGAGCACATTTGTTTTTTTCCACTGCTGCCTGGAAAATACCAGAAAATATAATTTAAAACTTCCAATCTGCATTTCACTGCTCCCCTGTTTACCTGATATTTACTAGTTTCAGATCGTGACTGTAGTCACTGTAGTTTAGGCCACCATTAAGTTGATCAATAGAAGGTAAGTATTTCGCTGACTGCTGTTAATACAGTGTGAATTGGACTTTAGTCACACAGCTACCAGTTAATCTTTCCCCCTGTGTAGATTATGTCCATAACAGCCAAATTTGTCCCTGCGTGTTTTAATCCCGTAATTCATACGATGGTAAAAAAGATGTTTAAATATCTTGCATAACAGATACTGAGTTTAATGCTCATTATTAGTGAATTTGGGAACATGTAGTCCAATTTTGAGTCCACCCAGATACAAACGTGACGTGTGAAGTAATCCCTCCTTCCTCCACTTTCTCACATGTATGCTTCACACCACGTTCACAACATCTCAGATTAAAACAAAAAGCTTCATGTCGGCCTCTTAGCAGTGACAACAAGTAGGTTACGAGGGATTTAGTTGTGGTTATCTACCTCTCACTCTTTGATCATTAATTGCAGAAGGGCCATAGATACTGCTGTTAATAATCAAAGACTATCATCAGAATGAATCGCATATTAACCCTCGTAAAAAGTTATGTATATCTGCCACACTGTTCGTGGCTGGTGTTGCATTGTGGATTGTTGCACGCCTCCATGTACTTTATAGAAAAGGGAAGTCTTCTTGTTGGTTTTGCGTGTTATCATATGACATTGATGCAGCAGAAGTCTGAGAGATAGGAAGTGGAGGCCTTGTTTAATGCTTCTTTACACTGACGTGTATGTTAGCTGTTCCCACAGATGCAGTTAAAGGTGTCACGGGTTCTCTACTTAAATCTTTAAGCTGCATGAGCTGAAATTGCTTTGCAATGTATTTCATGTAAACTGATGAAAACGTACACACCAATTCATGCATTACATGAAGACCACATCGAGTGAATCGTGTAGCTCTGTGACCGAACAGTTGTGCCACAGCGCCCAATGGACAAGGTGTTCTCGGACCCTAAATTTAAACCATACATACTTTGGTTCCCATGAACCCACATGTCACAGGATTTCCTTTCTGGAATAGTTTGCTGGATAGTTTGTTCGGGACACTTTGACATAAAATCCAACAGACTGCGTGACTGTACTTGACCTGACTGCTGCAAGACGCCTCTGTAGCTAATGCTTATGTGCACACGAATGCATCTTTATGTACTACACTCGGGTAAATCTGCATCAGACAAAGTAAAATTTGTCAAAATAGGTTCTTTGATCCTCAAAGCTGGCAAGACTTCATTTATCTGATCGAGGTAGTTTATTTTAAAGATCTTAGTGACCCTAATCAACGATAATTCATTACACCTAAGACTCCGTCTATAATAAACAGTTTAAAATTATGCAAAAAAAAGTGCGTCCACACCAGCATTTTCAGGTCGATTTCACAGAACAATAGAAAAACTGCTAATTCTCTTCATCTTTCTTCCCTTTTTAGTTATTAAATAACAAAATTGTGAATCGCAGCCACCATCTGGCAAGGAGTGGGCCGGTTAGCCCTCCGTCCATCCCCCTCCTGCTCTCTGTGATCCCCTTTACTTTGTTTTATACAGAGCGCGATTAAGTTCATATTAACATAGTTTTGCTGTATGCATGCGTTTGAATCATTGCGTTGATTATAAACTCGGTGTATGCTGGTGGAACTTACTAGATATTTGCCTCGCACTGAACAAGCAATAGATAAGCGTCTATTGAATCATGTTACAACAGTGTTTTGATCAACAGTAACCGCTTTAGTTTGTAATTAATAAAACAAGATGCAACATGTCAATACAAATACTGTGAAATCCAATAACAACCTACAACCATACTATTCTGGACACGCCTTATAAAACGGGTGATTTGGGAGATATTACTCTGGTATCTGCTCAGCTGTAGTGAAATATAACTCGGGAGTAAAACTAATTAAACTCAAAAGTTTTAAGCATTTTCTTGAGTATTGACTTCCATCTAAATGCTATTGAGGCTGCTCGACATACGATGTCATGGAAAACAGCAGCCCCCCC